TTTTTTATGTCATCTGCACTCTCTCCTGTTTCTTCATTGAGCCCAATCAGTCTTATGTTATTCTTCTTTGCATCATCTAGCAGCTTCTGGATTGATTTCTCATGTTCCCTTATAATTTTGAAGCAATTTTTCTTTTCCTGGTCACTAATTGCAATGTGTTCCACGTGACTCGGGACCTTGGTAGGTCGTGGGCAGACCTGCCTGTCTGCAGCGGGGTGATTTGGCATCTTCCGTGTGACTTGGGACCTCGGTAGGGCATGGGCAGACCTGCCTGTCTGCAGCGGGGTGGTTCGGCATCTTCCGCGTGATTCCGAACCTTGGTAGGGCATGGGCAGACCTGCCTGTCTGCAGCAGGGTGATTAGACGTGTTCCCCACAACTCGGGACCTCGGTAGGGTGTGGGCAGACCTGCCTGTCTACAGTGGGGTGATTCGGCGTCTTCCGTGCAACTCAGGATCTCGGTAGGTCATGGGCAGGCAGACCTGCCTGACTGCAGCGGGGTGATTCATGATTCAGCATCTTCCGTGTGACTTGGGACCTCAGTAGGGCTTGGGCAGACTTGCCTGTCTGCAGCAGGGTGATTCGGCATCTTCCACGGGACTCGGGACCTCGGTAGGGCGTGGGCCGACCTGCCTGTCTGCAGCGGGCTGATTTGGCGTGTTCCACGCTACTCGGGACCTCTGAGACTCTATCTCTTGATGAGGGGAAAAGTCATCCTACTCTATAGGATGAGGGTTAGGAGATATTGTTTCAGTCATCTTGGAAAAATAAAACCATATATCCAGACCATTGAAAATGAGGGAAAATGTAAAGAAGCAAAATAAGAAAAAATTAAACTTGCAATCGGCCAAAACAAACTTCAAAAGGGCATATTCTTTACTCATAAAAGACTCTCCCACAAGGTCTGATATAAAGCCTATTAAATTTCAGACAAAATTCTAACAAGCCTGATTATATAATTTCCCAGTTCACAGCAGATTAGACTCAGCAATTAGACAATTAGAGAGGGTAATGGAGGGACAGGAAAAGCGGTAATAAGATTGGGTTGTTTCTTAGCCACTAAAACAACCCTAATGAAGTTTTTACCCAAACATGAAAATAACAACAACACAAGGCATGCCCCTGTTGACTACATAGACAAAGCTTCCTCTAACGAGTTTTGCATTAATAGCGCTGATGTGGACACACCTTCCCCTGACTCTCAGCTGTAGTTTAGATAATCTTTCTATCCTACTTACCTCAAATAGTTGCTTATGGTTCAATAAGCCTGTAAAATCATGCTTTTGAAGGAGAAATTACAAACAAGTACAAATACATGGAATTTTAACACATCTCACATATCATAAAAATTAATAACTATAGTCATGTTTGGTGTAATAAAAGTTAAATACCAACAACTTATGTCCTAAAGTTATCTGTTATTTGATGACGGCTTTGTGTCTTAATTTCACAATTTCATACATATTAAAATAAAACCATAAAACAATGAACAGATGTAACTTATAGAAGACAAATACCCTTTGTTAGATTTAGGGTATATAAAGTTATCAATGTAATAAATGAAGGCAGGACAATATATAATGTGAATTCAAGGTTATGACAACCCTATCTTTAAAAAATCAATTTCACTATTCTAGATGCCTCTCCTTCCTCTGATTGTCCAAAGTTCTGCCTCATAAAAGCTGCTGTGGAAGTTTAGGGGAGATTGCAGTCCACCCTTCGACCTCCACACTACCCAAGAGCAAAGGAGTTGCTCTCAGGGTGTAGATAAATATCTTGGCTTTGTTGCCAGTGCTGTATTTCACCTTAATGCAGTTAAATATTCTCATCCTGAGGCAGAAAATGCTGTTTAGAGGCACTGTTATGCTGACTTCCCCATCTCATTTTGCATGGCATGCTGAATTGTTTTTCCTCTTGGGAAATTAATGAAAACTAAAGAAAGGACTGTGATAGGCAAGGAGCAGATTGAAAAGTTCAGGTTGGAAATGACGCTGCCTTCCTTTTATCTATTTAACTAGTGATGTATTTAATTTTAATTGATAACATGTACTAGGACAACTTGGACTGCCAGGATCAGGTCTTTAATAATAAGCTGGGCAGGGAACTGTGAAGAAAATTTCCCTCTCACCCTAAATGAGTCCACATATGTGCAGAGACAAATTGCAGGTGCACTGGTATTACAGGAATGGGCCCAGGGCAACAAAATATTCTGCAACTAATTAACTTTACATCCCAGTCAATTATGCTTCATGCTTCTAAAACATCTGCTGAACAACAAAAATGCAAACCTTTTCGATGTTTTATGCATAAAGTAAGTTTCACAGCAATACATTTAAAATGTCCTTTCTTATTTGGTTAAATCCTTCATTTTTCCTATCTTGTTAGTCCCAAACAAAAATTTATATATATTTGACTTTAAAGAAAATAATTAGGCCACGCATCCTTTCTTTTTGTAACTAAGTGCAGCCAAGGGAGCAAAACAACATTAGAATTTCTTTACTAGCACAGAGATTTGAATCATCCAATAGGATTATCTAGCTTCAACAAAGAAAGGAAGAGTTCTTTACTCCTCCCCTAACCATTTGTGTTGACCGTGTCTTGTGTTGTCTGCAATCAATAAATAAATTCTTCCTTTACACTTTTAAATTCTTTTTTGAAAAGAGTAAACTTTCTCTTTTTTGTGTGTGTTTTTTGTTTTGTTTTGTTTTTTGAGTCTGGCTATGTAGTTCAGGCTGGGCTTGAACTTCCTGTGTAACTCAGAATGGCCTCAAACTCACAGTGATCCTCCTGCCTCAGCTTCCTGACTGCTAGATAACAGCCATGTACTGCCATGCCTGGCAACATTTTGAATTGTAAAAATGAATACAATACTTTTTCAAATTTGAAGAGTGAATTATATTTATTTCAGCGGAGTGCACCTACATTTTAACTCTTTAATGTATACTATTGAATAATTTCAAAGAAATTTATCAGGAAATCTATCAGGAAATAATACCCATGAGAGAACAAAATGTTCTAAAAGTCTTTTATATATGGGCTGTAATCTTGTTTGTTCCTTGATTTTTTTTATGGTTTCCTGAAGAAAATATTAAACAATAATTTAAATCTATAAATTGGGCCAAAGACCTACAAGTCTTTTTTTTATTAGAGTAGAACAACTTTAAAATGTACAAAGCATATAGTTTCTTTAATCTCAATTAGCCCCTCTAAAATCACTTGAATACCTCTAGAAATAAATTAAATCAAAGAAGTGCACATACAAAATGCATTTTCTTTATTCAATTAAATCTATCACTAAAGTTCTCTATACAATTTATAATGATTGTATGTTTTATCTATTGTAGGTTTGATCCTCAAAAGGGCTTTTGGTGTCAACTACTGGAAGGAGGAAAGACAAAATGCCTTGGAAGAAGCAAAGGCCGAAAATACCCACCCATGGATCCTGAGGTATTATTTTGCTAATCTGAATCACTCTGCCAAAAACCTGTACACACATCTGATTTAAAGCTTGAAACAGAAATTTGCTTCCTTTTTCTGCTCTTTATTTTCAATCAATAGTTTATATATCTAAAAGATATTAGAAATAGGTAAAGGATTGTTATATACTCTTAGAAATTTTTTTCCTCTTAGGAAATTATAAAGATCAGAGCAGAAATCAATTCAATGGAGACTAAGAAAACAATACAAAAAATTAATGAAGCCAAGAGTTGGTTCTTCGAAAGAATCAAAAAAATTGACAAACCCTTAGCCAACCTTATCAGAAAAAGGAAAGAAAAGGCCCAAATCCATGAAATTAGGAATGAAAAGGATGAAATTACAACAGCCCCAGCAGAAATCCAGAGGATCATCAATACCTACTTCCAT